ACTCCTTGGTTGTCGGACTTCCGTACAGTTCAACTTTCTGTCAGTACTGATTGTTTTTTCATTTCCTCACCCAAATACTTGTTGGGTGAGGAAACTGGTTGTTTTTTTATATCCTCACAAGAAACACTTGTTGTCCTTATTTTGGTTGTGCAACTCCTCGTGTGTAGGTAGACACACTGTGTCTACCTATGCCTCCATCTTGGCTGGAAGTCCCTTTTTTTTCTTTAAAGAGTTTATTTATTTATTTTTGGAGAGAGGGGAAGAGAGGGAGAAAGAGACTCCATCAATGTGTGATTGCCTCTCATTCGCCCCCTACTGGGGACCTGGCCTGCAACCCAGGCATGTGCCCTGAATGGGAATCAAACCTGTGACCCTTCATTTTGCTAACTAGTGCTCAATCCACTGAGCCATATCAGCCAGGGCTAAAACTCCTACTCTTGTAAAAATTATAAAGATTATACTCTAATGAGGACAGGGAGAGAGAGAAATAAGCATAAGAGAATTATATAGTGTGATATACAAAGATAAGCGCTATCCAGAACAACAGAGCACTGTAAGTGGAAGAAGAATCTTAGGTGCCAGTGGGGGGTGGGGAGGGGTTTTGCAAGGTGGTGCAGAGTGGTCGGAATAGTTCTCACTGAGAAGGTGGCATTAGAATAAGGAAATCACAAAAGAATTGAAGGATGTGATGGGAGCGAGCCATGTGGTTATCTGGAAGAGCCTTCCAGGCAGAGGGCACCGGGTGTGCAAAGGACTAGTGAGGAGGCCAGTGCAGCAAAAACAATGAGAGGAAATAGAAACTAGTAGAATCAGGGCGGATATGTATTTTTTAAGGAGTTTTATTGTAAAGAAGAACAGATAAATGGAGCGGTGGCAGTAGGAGGAACGCAAATCAAAGAAGGTTTTTGTTTTGCTTTGTTTCTAAGGTGGGAGAAATAATATCTTGATGCTGATGGAAAGGTTCAGTAAGAAGGAAGATCTGTTGGGCAATGTCCTTGGGTGGGCAAGAGCGGGTTGTTAGGTCTAGTGTGTAAGGCTGGCCTTAGATAGAAGCACAGACTGTAGCAGGGTTTCTCAATTCCTGCACTTTTGACATTTTGGGTGACATAATTCTTCATTGTGGAGGGCTATCCTGTGCATTGTTATAATGTTTCGCAGTATCACCGACTTCTACCACCATGAATGTAACAACCAAGAATGTCTCCAGAAAATACCAATATCCCCTGAAAGGCAAAACTGTGCCCACTTGAGAACTACTGATCTATAGTAACAGGGAGGATTATCAGAAGATGATAAGACAACCACGCAATATGAAATAAAAAGATAAAGCTGAATTTATTGCTTACTAGAGATGTCGAGAGCCATGCTGGTCAGGCACAGCTTCAAGGAGACCAGACTGCTAATCTTATATTGGATTTTGAGAAAGTGGGTAATTCAGGGACTGGTGAACTTTCAGAGGTCTAACTGTGTTGATGTCATCTGTAGAAGTAAGTGATAACTTGGGTGAAACTATTGTTGACCAGTGGGCACTCAGGTGCATTTACTGAAGTGCGTCGCTGTGATTGGCTGATTCTCAAAATCAAATGGTTGTTGTTCATTGGGCTTGCAAAAGCATATCCTCTCAGGTAAGTTATTGATCAATTGGAAGTAAAACTGGTTATGATTTCTGGCTGTTACCACGGGAATGTGGAAACAAGAAATTCTCAGTACTCTATATGCTAGTGGATAGACATGGTGGTGGAAATTTGTGGAAGTTCTCTTCTGATTGCTTTAATTTTTTAAGTGAAATAGGAAGCAAGGTCCTCAGCAGGGAAGATGGCTAGGTGTAGGTGTTGAAGGTTTAAGGATTGCTGTTTCTCTTTCACATCGAGGTTTCTCTCCCTCTCTTTCTCCCTCCTTTTTCCTCTCTCTAAAAATAAATAAATAAACTATTTATTTTTTTAAATTCCTACTGTAAGACTCCTGAAACACCAGTTCAAAAGAACTTATGTACCCCTATGTTCATAGCAACACTATTTACAATAGCCAGGTGTTGGAAACAGCCTAAGTGCCCATCAGTAGATGAATGAGTTAAAAACTGTGGTACATTTACACAATGGAATACTATGCAGCAGGAAGAAAGAAGGACTTTCTATCTTTTGCAAAAGCATGGATGGAACTGGAGACTATTAGGCTAAGTGAAATATGCCAGTTGTTGAAAGACAAACACCATATGATGTCACTTACAAGAGAAATCTAATGAACAAAATAAACTAATGAGCAAAACAAAACCAGAGACATGGAAACAGGGAACAGACTGATGGCTGCCAGAAGGGGGGGATGGAGAGGGTGGGTGAAAAGAAGGAGAAGGGGTTAGTCAAAGGCCATGTATGAATGACCCATGGACACGGACAATGGTGTGGGATTGACTGTGGGACTGGGGGCTGGGATGGGGAAAAGAGGACAAGGGGGGGGAAATTGGGACAACTGTAACATAATAAATATTAAAAATTCCCATATTGCTTCCTTCACCCATAAATACCTCAAGATATATCTCTTATAAGTAAAGACTTTAAAAAACCATAATCACAATATTATTATCACACGACAAAACTAACAATAATTTCTTCCATTTTTTTATTGTTGTTCAGTTACAGCTGTCCTCATCCCCCCCTTTTCTCCCCGGCCCTGCCCACCCCTCCCACATTCAATTCCCCTCCCCGCCCCATTGTCCTTGTCCATGGGTCCTTTATACATGTTCCTTCACTTGACCCTTCCCCTTCTTTCCCCAATTATTGCCCTTCCCCCTCCCCTCGGGTCACTGTCAGATTGTTCTTTATGTCCATGTCTCTGGTTCTATTTTGCTTGCTTGCTTGTTTTGCTGATTAGTTTCCATTTATAGATGAGCTCGTATGGTATTTGTCTTTTACCTCCTGTCTTATTCGCTTCATACAATGCTCTCCCATTCCATTTATGCTATCGCAAGGGTAGGAATCCTTTCTTTCTGCTACATAGTATTCCATTGTGTAAATGTACTACTGTTTTTTGATTCATTCATTTACTGATGGTCATGTAAGCTGTTTCCAGCACTTGGCTGTTGTAAACAACACTGCTGTGAACATTGGGGTGCATAGGTTATTTTGAATTGGTGTTTCCAGATTCTTAGGGTATAATCCCAGCAGTGAAATTGCTGGGTCAAAAGGCTGCTCCACTTTTGGTTTTCTTAGGGAATTCCAATACAGTTTTCCACAGTGGCTGCACCAGCCTGTGTTCCCACCAACAGTGTACTAGGGGAAACTTTTCTCCACATCCTCACCAGCATTATTTGTTCATTTGTTTATGATGGCCATTCTGACCAGTGCAAGGTGGTATCTTATTGTGGCTTTAATTTGCATTTCTCTGGTGGCTAGAGATGCTAAGCATCCTTTCACATGTCTCTGGGCCCTCTGTATGTTCTCCTTGGAGAAGTGTCTATTCAGGTCCTTTGCCCATTTTTTAATTGGATTGTTTCTTCCTGGAGTGGAGTTGTGTGATTTATTTATATATTTTGGAGATCAAACCCTTGTCCGAGGTAACATTGGCAAATATGTCTTCCCATACAGTTGGTTCCCTTTTCATTTTGCTGATATATTATTTAGCTGTGCAGAAGCTTTTTAATTTTATATAGTCCCATTTGTTTATTCTTTCCTTTATATCCATTGCTCTAGGGGACATATCAGTGAAATTATTGCATGGGATATCTGAAATTTTCCTGCCTATATTCTCTTCTAGGACTTTTGGTGAAAAAAATTCTTTAATATTAACTAATTCTCAGTCCATATTCAATTTTGCAATGGAATGATGATAATGCATGGCAATCCACTTAAGCTGGCTAAGAAAAGAAGCAATAGGAAAGGTAGTAGAGTCGGGGCAACGGAAAGGTAGTTAGAGTAACAGGTTAAAGGTCCTGGTGAGTGGGAAGATAATTGAAGTTAGGAGCCCATAGGGAGTGAGCTAGAAGGGTCCCGGTGGTCCCACTTTCATCTGTTCAGTCACGGCAGATTTCTTTTTCAGTTTATTGTATAAGACAAACTCCTTCGAATATGGGATGTTGTACAATTCTGTACAGATCTCTTTCCCACAATCTCATGCATTTTTAGCTCCAGCACCTGACACTCTCAGGAGACTCTGAAAACTAAAGTAAGTGGGGTCCTTCTTTTAAATCCTTCTTCTTTGGAACACATATAATTTCAAAACTATAGGAAAATGTGTTTGTTTGATGTCTAAGTCCACTAACAACTATGTCTCTACGTCTCCTTTGTTCACAGCGGTCATTGCCAGCCCCTAGGGCAGTGTCAGTAGGACACTTTCTTTCTTTTAAAAACATTTTATTTATTTATTTTTAAAGAATGGGGAAGCGAAAGAGAAAGAGTGAGAGAGAAACATCAGTGTGTGGTTGCCTCCTATGTGTCCCCTACTGGGGACCTGGCCTGCAACCCAGGCATTTGCCCTGACTGGGAATCAAACCAGTGACCCTTTGCTTCACAGGCCCATGCTCAAACCACTGAGCTACACCAGCCAGGGAATGAACACTTTCAATAGATGTATTTGTTGCACAAAGGAGGGAGGGAGTGTTCAATAATGCCAAATGTCAGACTTCTAAACCCACCCATAATATGGCTTCTAAGGATTCTAAATTATTTACTCCCAAGTGACAATCGCCAAGTCCTCACACGTAGAAAGATAATTTAGGAGGGCCATTTAACTTAATTACTTGAAGACTAAATTGGGCCCCTTACTGCTTAATTTGGAGAGACAGCTCTCTAAAACCCCCTTCATCATCCCCAAAATGCTCTTGCGTAAAGGAAACGATTATGATACAAATCTAAACACCAGAGCCCTCCTGTGGTATGCATGGTTCCAACAACGCCCAGAAGGGTTGGGTCCCGCAGTCACACACTGAGTGTGGTCCGTGGGCATGCGCGGGAGGATACCTCCGGAGGCGGATGTTAACCTCCCCAGAACGGAAGTTCCTCAGCCATCAAACCCGTGGGGAAGCAACTCGGCAACGGACCAAGATGGCGGCGCCCAGCGAGGGGCCAGCGTTTGCTGTAGGGGTTGAAAAGAATTCGGGTGCGGTTGTTCGTTCCCCAGAAGGGACTCCCCAGAAAATCAGGCAGCTGATAGATGAAGGGATTGCTCTGGAAGAGGGCGGCACTGAAGCGTGAGTTCGAGAGTCCACCTTGTTCTGGGGACAGCTGATTAAACTGGGTTTGGGGCAGTCAGGGCTTGAGGGATCCCCTGCATGGGCGACTCGAGCGGAGGTTGGCTTGGTCCTGGGATCTGAGAGAAACTGGGGTTACTATGCTTAGTCTGCTTTAATCTCCTCGGGATGTGGACGATTCGGCACCAAGGAACCGAAAACTGCCATAAGTCAGGTTTTGGAGGGAAGGAAAAAACAGCCCTAACTGTGCGCACCTGGTATCTCGTAGTGTGTGAACTGTAGACACCTTTGGCAGCCCTAGTAAAGCTTTTGAACCCCTTCTGAATAGTGTTTTATGTATAAGCAAATTACATAGGATTATAAAGGAAGCCAATTACACTGGAATGGAGTTAAGGAAGTAGAAAAGGAGTGATGCAGTAACGTGCTTCATTATTAAAGATTTAAATAATATCTAGCCATATATTTGTTACTTACCATAATTTTGTAGTGATAAGCATAAACAGTATTTGAAAATACATGCAACAACCATAATGTAATCATAGAATATCTGTAATTTCCGTTTGTTACAAATTCATAGGTATTGCTGCTGCTTCTATGGTTTTATTTATTATCTTTATTCATAATTGAAGGAAATGCTAAATTTCAATTAGAAGTTAGTAAAATAAATGTCATTTTTCCCCTTTCAAGTTTATAAATCCTCTGAGTTTTTTCCAAGAACCACACCTCCCTGAGGCTTTCTGTGACTCTCTGAGGATTCTTATAATAAATGTCTTTCTTTTGAGTAATACTTATTTTATTAAAATGACTTGTCTTCAGCCATTCCTCCCTATACCCCTCCCCCCAGGCCCTGTTAAAATACCATTCTCTGAAAATCAGAGAATTGCTTTTTGCTGATTTTTTTTCTTCCTGAATTTTTTCCATGAAATTGCCTAAAGGTCTTTACTTTCATTTGATTTTTCAAAGGAGTGCATTTTGGGGAGGACTGGATATTAAGGGTTGATCCCGGTAGTAGTATCAAGATTGTTTTTTCTGCTCTTACAAGAATTAATTTATTTCTAAAGTGGTTCAAATTGTATGATGCACGGAAGCCCAGAGTCTTATTTTGTGTTTACTAAAGTTACACGAAATATTGTCAGGGAACAGTGAATGAGCCAGATGAACAGATTGCCAGTGTAGGATTAGTGGAGCACTCTGCAGGTAGAATTTACCAGAACTTAGGTATGGCTGAACTGTAAAGAGATTTGAATGCCAAGACTGAAGAATTTGGATTCTATTTAGTAAGTACCATCATCCAGGACCACATTTAGATACCAAAATCCTCAGATGCCCAAGTCCTTTATATAAAATGACATAGTGTTTGCTTATAACCTATGTTCATCCTCCTATATACTTTTAACTCATCTCTAGATCCCTTATATTACTTAATGCAGTGTAAATAGTTGTTATACTGAGTTGTTTAGTCAATAATGACAAGGGAAAAAAGTACATGTTCCATTTGGACGCAACCATCATAGCCCTAACTACATAGCATGTGAGCAGAAATATATTTTCCCCCAAATATTTTCTATCGACAGCTGGTTGAATTTGCCCATTCGAAACCTGCAGATACAGAGGGCTGTATTGTGAAATCATTGAAAATGCTAAGCAAAGGAGTAACATGACTGAAATGATTTTTAGAAAGGTTAAAATTCATTGTGGTATGATTGATGATATGAAGTGCAGAGAATCTAGAAATAAAATGTTTAAGCAAAATGATGCCAGGGCTTACCGACAGTTCTGTCACTTTATTTTAGGAAGGAGACATCTGCCACATTCCAATCAGTTAATGGATCACCCGAAGCAGAACAACCTCCATTGGAATCTATAAGCAAAGAAGCCTTCTTTAGCAGAGTGGAAACATTTTCTATATCCTTTTTTGGTTCGTGTGAGTTGTGCTTTTTGCATACTGCTAGAATAATAACATTACTTACTCTGATGTCTTAAATTTAAGAATTAAACTTGATAAATTTTATAGGAAAAGTAGCTCATAAAATGTTATCCCTCAACCCTGACTGGGTGGTTTGGTTGGTTGGAGCATTGTCCCGTACACCAAAAATTTGCAGGTTCGATCCCCAGTTAGGGCACATGTGGGAGGTGGCCAGTCAGTGTTTTTCTCTCTCACATCAATGTTTCTCTCTCTCTCCCCCTCACCTCCCCTCTCTGAAATCAATAAATATATTCTTGGGTGAAAGTTAAAAAAAAATGTCCCTCGGAGGAACATTTAGATGATCTAACTTCCCTTTACAGAAGAAAAAAAACTGAGAGCCTGAGAGGAAAAGGAACAATAACTAACATTTATACATAATGTGTTTTCACATATATTATCACATTTGATCTTTACCTTAAGCCTATGAAAATAGGTATCACTATTATTATACTCATTTTACAGAAGAGGAAGCAGTTCACTTAAGCTATCTGACTTGACAAAGGTTAGCCTGCTAGCATGTAGCAGAAGAAGGATTATAATGTAAGGCTCTTGGGAACTAAACCTATTTTTTAAGTACATTTTATTGATTATGCTATTACAGTTGTCCCATTTTCTCCTCTTCATTCTTCTCCACCCTGCACAACCTCTCCCACCCACATTCCCCTCCTTTAGTTCATGTTCATGAACTAAGTTCTTTAGCTTCTACATTTCTCATACTATTCTTTTCCTCCCCCTGTCTATTTTCTACCTACCATCTATGCTACTTATTCTCTGTACCTTTTCCCCCTCTCTTCCCTGTTGCTAACCCTCCATGTGATCTCCATTTCTGCGGTTCTGTTCCTGTTCTAGTTGTTTGCTTAGTTTGTTTTTGTTTTAGGTGTGGTTGTTAATAATTGTGAGTTTGCTGTCATTTTACTATACATGTTTTTTACCTTCTTTTTCTTAGATAAGTCCCTTTAACATTTCATATAATAAGGGCTTGGTAATGATGAACTCCTTGAACTTGACCTTATCTGAGAAGCATTCATCTGCCCTTCTATTCTAAATAAAAGCTTTGCTGGATAGAACAATCTTGGATGTAGGTCCTTGCCTTTCATGACTCTTTCCAATACTGGAAAGAAGTATTGGAACCCTTCTTGCCCATAAGGTCTCTTTTGAGAAATTAGCTGACAGTTTGATGGGAACTCCTTTATAGATTACTGTCTCCTTATCTGTTGCTGCTTCTAGGATTCTCTCCTTCATTTTAATCTTGGCTAATGTACTTATGATGTTCCTTGGTGCGTTCCTCCTTGGGTCTACCTTCTTTGGGACTCTCTGAGCTTCCTGGACTTCCTGGAAGTTTCTTTCGTTTGCCAGATTGGGGAAGCTCTCCTTTATTATTTGTTCAAATAAGTTTTTCACTTGTTGCTCTTCTTCTTCCCCTTCTGGTACCCCTATAATTTGGATGTTGGAATGTTTAAAGATGTTCTGGAGGTTCCTAAGCCTCTCCTCATTTTTTAAAAATTCTTATTTCTTCATTCTTTTCTGTTTGGTTGTTTCTTTCTTCCTTCTGGTCCATTCCATTGATCTGAGTCCCAGTTTCCTTCCCATCACTATTGATTCCCTGTGCATTTTCCTTCATTTCACTTAGCATATCCTTCATTTTCTCAGCTAATTTGCGACCAAAATCAACCAATTCTGTGAGCATCCTTATCACCAGTGCTTTGAATTATGCATCTGGTAGATTGGCTATCTCCTCGTGGCTTGGTTGTATTATTTCTGGAGCTTTGATCTGTTCTTTTGTTTGTGCCATTTTTTGGTCTTATTGTGCCTGTTACATAGTGAGGGGTGGAGCCTTAGGTGTTCATGAGGGCAGGGCAACCCAGTCACTGTGTTGTGAAGCTGTATGTGGGGACAGGGTCTGAGAGGGAACAATGGTGCTTGCTCTGCTCTCTGTTGGATTTCAGTCCCTTCTGCCACTTCCCCCAAGCAAACTGGGCCCTTCTGGTTGCTGATTCCCATTCGGATGGGCTTGTGTACATCCTGGGGCCCTATGGGTCTTTCTGACCAACTCTCCTGTGAGGCTGGGAGTCTCTCCTGGCACCTCAACCCCTGCAGGTGTTTTTAATCAATGTTTTGAGGCTTTATTTCCGTGCACTGGAACCCCGGGTTGCACATTCTGTCTTGCTCCCCAGTTTCGCCTAGTTTATCTGTGCAGGAATGTGGGATCCTGGTCAGCCAGCTGCTTTGCATGCTGTGTCCTGCTTCACAATCACCTCCTTGCTGGGTCTGCTCGTTGCCGCCCCAAGTGGAGTCTGCCACGTGCACACCCAGGGTCCACCTGCTGCCGGCTTGCATGCCTGGGGTTTGTCAGCTGCTGCCTTGTGTGCCCCTGGTGCCACCGCTTCTTTTGCCGTGACCCCTCTCTGCCTGGCACCCGACTCCACCCCTCCTACCGGTCTGGATGAATGTCTATTTTAACTCCTTGGCTGTTGGACTTCCATACAGTTCAATTTTCTGTCAGTTATGGTTGTTATTTTGTTTGTAAATTGTTGTTGTCCTTATTTTGGTTGTGCAGGGAGGCACAGTGTGTCTACCTACGCTTCCCTCTTGGCCGGAAGTCCAAACCTTTTTTTTTTTTTTTTTTTGAGACTAACTGTGCTTTTTCTCTCTGTCTAGATTTTCTTCTGTATGTAAGATCTGTTGTTGCAAAACAAATTACCCTAAAATCCAGTGGCTTCAAATGAGAAACCGTTATTAACTCACAGTTTTTGAGGATCAGAAATGCAGGCACAGCGTAGCTGAGCCCTCTGACTCAGGGTCTCTCACAGACTGCTCTGGGGTCTAGGCTGGGGCTGTAGTCATCTTGGGGCTCTTCTGGGAAAAGATCCACTTTAGATCTAACACGGTCGTTGACAGGATTTGTTTCCTGGTGACTGTTGGATTGAGAGCTTCAGCTCTGTTCTGGCTGTTGACTGTAGACTTCCCTATGTTCCTTCCACATGAACCTTTCCGTGGACAGCCCATAACATGGCAGCTGGCTTCCATCAGCGTGAGCAAGCAAGAGAGCAAGACAGAAGCTAGACTGTTTGTAACCTCATCTCAGAAGTGATGTCCCATTGCTTTTGCTATGTTCTACTCACTTAGAATGGTTTTTTAAAAATTTAAAATGGCCCTAACTGGTGTAGTTCAGTGGATTGAGCACAAGCCTGTGAAGCAAAGGGTCGCCGGTTTGATTCCCAGTCAGGGCACACGTCTGGGTTGCAGGCCAGGTCCCCAGTAGGGGACACATGAGAGGCAACCACACATTGATGTTTCTCTCCCACTCTTTCTCCTTCCCTCCTCTCTAAAAATAAATAAATTAAATTAAATTAAAATTAAAATAGTTATATACTTACAAAAAAGTTGGCACAGGTTAAAAGGAACTTTCTTCCTGGGCTACTTGAAAGGGAGTTGCCAAAGTCCCCAAATATTTCCCGCAAACAAGGATATCCTTTGTAATCACAATACAATCATCAAAATCAAGAAATTCACATAATAAATTACTGACCCCTCTGACCCCAATTATTTCATCTATTGTTCCTTTTTTAAAATTTTGTTTAGTTGATTAATTTTAGAGTGAGAGAGAGAGTTCAGTTTGTTGTTCCACTTATTTATGCATTCATTGGTTGCTTCTTGTATGTGCCCTGATGGAAGAATGAACCCGCAGCCTTGGTGTGCCAGGGCGATGCTCTATCTAACTGAGCTGCCCGGCTAGGACTCAGTAATGGTCTTTATAGCATAAGGATCCAGTTGGGAATCCCAGTTTTTCCTTGAAGTTCACAATGTTGATATTTTTGAAGATTACAGGCCAGTTATTTATTTTTCACCCTTCAAAAAAGCTTTTATTGGGAACTTTAATTTTCAAAAGCATAGATAACTGAGACAGTTTTGACAGGACCCTAAATTTTTGCAGGGCTGTTTTTGCCAACTGTAAAAAACACACATACCTGAGTGGCCCTGCTATGAGGTCTCTTTGAGGGATGGACAGTTCTAGAAGGCACTAACCAGTGACAGGGATGAGGCCTACCTTCCTCGGCCAGCCAGCTCAGCAGTGGCCCTGTCCAAGGGGCCCACAGACCAGTAGTTGTCATCCCAGCCAAGGACGAGCCCAGGAAAGAGGGAGTCTGGAAGCCTCACTCAGCCACGGTGACAGATCCACCTTTCGCGGTTAGTTGGGTTCGTCTCTATTGCTTAGCAAAGGTCAGGGCTTCTGTCTTTGCCTCTTCTTGAGAATCCTTTCCAACCTAAAGACCTAGTCCCTTGTGTCCAGGAGAATGACGTTGTCAGTGGCAGGTCTTGCATGAACTTGCCGAGGACCTTTGGACCACAAAACATCCGATGGAGCGGGCAAAGAGGTGAGGGGGTGAGGCCACTTATTCTGTAGAGTGCACTGCAGTTCACGTGTGCCTGATATTTCCTTGTGATTAGGTCCGGGTGATGCAGGGGTGTTTCAGAAGTGCTGTTGTGTGCTCTCTGCATCCTGTCGAGTGGCACAGGACTTGGACTTTTCCCTCTGCTGGCAGTGCTCATCTCTTGGTACTTGATAAAAGGGAGTGTGTGTCAGTCATCTCCATGGTAAAGTCACTCTTTTTATTTTTATTTTTTTAAAGATTTTATTCATTTATTTTTAGAGGGGGAGGGAAGGAGAGAGGGAGAGAAATCTCAATGTATGGTTGCCTCTTGTGTGTCCCCCACTGGGAACTGGCCCGCAACCCAGGCATGTGCCCTGACTGGGAATCGAACCATGATCCCTTAGTTCACAGGCCCACGCTCAATCTACTGAGCTACACCAGCCAGGGCTAAAGTCGCTCTTTATTCCTCTGTAATTAAAGGAGGTTTTGTGGGGAGATGCTTTGAAATTATGTTTATATCCTCATCAGACTTTATATAATTTCTTCATTTGTAGCAGCATGGGCTCACTGTTTCCTTTTTTTAGTCAATGGGTTGTGATCCATTACTGTCATTATATATTTGGATACTCCGGTTGTCCCTTGGACTAATTTGTGATTTCCTTTTATGCTGTTTTCATTGGGTACAAATTGATCACTATAAATATATATAATTATAAATACATAAGTGATAATTATTTATTTAACTTAAGCTAGTTCAGTGATTCTATTTTATTCTAGATGATCCCAGCTCTTTTAACATTTACATCTAAATTCTGTTTTCTGGCCTTAAATCCTTCTTTTGCTAATACTGGCATATTTACAAATTCTAACATTTCTTATAAAAATGTATAACTTTCCTACATCTTCTTTCATGTTTTATCCTTTCCCTCCCTATGCTCTGTAACATCAGAGTTTTTAAGGTAAAATATAAAAAGCTGAGTGCTGAATATTAAATACCAATGAATGTTTGAGGACATTTTCCCCTTGAGGACATTTTCCCAAGCACGTACTTGGAGGTACTCTTGATGTTTCCAGCCTATTGAAACCGTATAGATTACATACACACACTGGTAATGGCAGTCAGATCCGCAGCAGGGGAGGTAATGAAGAGGATGATTAGTTTTACTAACTGCTCCTTGGGAAGTAACAATGGGTGTGGCACGGCAGGGGCGCGTAGGTGAGTGATGGAAAATATTTCCACTTGTTTGACTTGCACCACGCTCTCTTTTACTTGGGCATACCCCAGTGCTTCCACTAGTGTTTTTAAATCCCTACTGTGTCACATTAGGTGCCTGTGAATGGCTTCTATGTGCTACCCCACACCACTAATAAACGTAGGGCTTCCTAGAGAAAAGGTTAATAACTTTTTTGCTGTACTTCTTACTCAAACAACCTTCATCATTATGTGAAGTTATGTACCTGTTCTTTCAAAATAGTTTTAACACCTTTTCCTACTGCTTTTCCCCTCATTTTAATATGTTTATTTCTGTTTGCATAAAGAATGAGTGAAGACTTTAATTTCTGACTTAGTCATTTTAATACACTTGCAGTGTTTTTTTCTTAACATGGGCACTCTCTGAAATGGGCCGGCAAGCCCTCCGAGCTGTCTCCACTCGTGTGTGCAAAATACGGCTGGGTCACAGTGGAATGTGACATGCTCAAGTGCTCCAGCTGCCAGGCTTTTCTCTGTGCCAGCTTACAACCAGCTTTTGATTTCCACAGATGTAAGTATAAAGTACAGCTTGCGTTTTTCTCCATACTCAAAAATATACTCTATAATTTTTTCTGAAAAGACCAGTTCAAAGAATGTGAATTACTGTACGAGGGGGGACCCAAAAAAACCCCGGAACTTATTTATAAAAAAATGTGTATTTATTCTTACATGTTTAAACTTCAGTCACCTTCAGAATACTCCATTTGATGCAACACCCCTATTGAGATGTTTTTTCCAGTGTTCAAAAACGGTTTTTGAACTAGTCAATTTTGATGCCTTTTGGTGCTTCTGCCCTTTCTTGTTTCACTTTTTCCACATTAGCAGAAACGTTTCCCTTTGAGGACTTTTTTCATCCAGGGAGACAAAAAGTCACCCGGAGCAAGATCAGATGAATAGAGAGGGTGGGGCACTGGGGTCTTGCTGTTTTGGGTCAAAAACTGCTGAACACTCTGCGTGTGGACAGGTGTGCTCCTAAATCACTGGTCATGAAATGGGCAAACTCATTGAAAGAGTCTTCAAAAAAAATTCACTGAGGCCAAACGCAGCCTCTCACAACAACAGCAGCTGGTCCACTGATACAGATGGGTTCCTAGAACACTAACCTAGCAAGGGAAGCCTGTACTACAAGGGGCCCACCCTCCAGGAGATAATTCCAGGGTTTTTGGCTACCCCCTCAAATATAACAAGGTGAATTTGTGCTTATCTTCACTCTAATTATGAACTTCAGTCATTAACTTTATTGAAAAACTAAACTACTTTAGAGTGAACTTGACTTTATTCTGGGAAACTAACAGTAGTATGTTTACTCTATGGTTCTAAACTTTATGCTTAGGCAAAGAGATGCAGGACTTTTGTGCAAGCTCATACTTTGGAATGCCCTGCCTTATAAGATACATGGTACCTTCTTTGTTATCAATCTTAGAATCTTGATTTAAAACTTATTTTGTAGAATATATTAAGGTGATGCATTGCTAACATTTTCATATATTTGTAAATTTTCTTAGTTATTTCTATGTTTAGTTGAGTCTATACTCTTAAGGCTTTTAAAAGGCCATTGGATTTTGACTCTCTCTAGTGTGTTTTAAGTGTTGTTCCCTGTGTGGGTTCCAGATAAGGAGCGGTGTGCGGAGCTGAAGAGAGCCTTGTGTACCGCCCACGAGAAGTTCTGTTTCTGGCCAGATAGCCCCTCTCCAGGTATTTATTCCCAGGATTTCCCACGAACTTTCTTTCCTTGGTCATTGCACTTCTAATATTGTCAATTTATTTTATGAAAATCCAGTCTTTGAAGTTGTTGGTCTGTCTTTATGTTCATGCTTTTCAAGAAGAGCTAACTTACATTCATTTATTACACTGCTGCTTAACTTAATTAAGTGCATTTGACATGCCAAAAGCTTCGCCATGCATATATTATGCCATTTAATCCTCACAGGATCACTGGGATATAAACATTATCAACTCAGTTTTTTAAGGTAAGGAAACGGAGAATCAGAATTCTTAAAACCACCTAGTGAGGACCCATAGCCAGGGTTGTATCTACTTTCAAAACCCCTGCTTTCCCTAAGATAGCAAGCCCCCCTGTGTTCTACCTTGGCTTCCTTTGGTGCACGAACAGCACTAATAATAAACAGGGCTGCTGCTAAAGAAGACCCTGAGAACCCCAAATAAGAGTAATTGCAAATCTACAGTTTTTGACAATAAAACTGCACACTCTGATAACGGCTTTGAAGTCAGAATATCGTCACAGTGGAGACTGTCCTGCAGAGTCGGATCTGCAGCCAGGGGCAAGCGCCCTCTTGTTCTCCCTGTGGAAGGGCTGTGGCAGGGTGCATTCTCCCAAGTCAGGGACCACTGATGTGTGTACAAGACACTGTAGAACAAGGGAGTAATATATATAATAGCCCCACGCTCTTTTTTTTTTTTTTGTAAGATTTTATTTATTTGTCTTTAGAGGGGAAGGGAAGGAGAAAGGAAGAGAAATATCAATGTATGGTTGCCTCTCGTGCGTCCCTGCTGGGAACTGGCCTGCAACCCAGGCCTGTGCCCTGACTAGGAATCAAACCACGATCCTTCAGTTCACAGGCCCATGCTCAGTCCACTGAGCTACACCAGCCGGGGCAAGAGTAATCTTTTTAAAAAAATGTTCTTTTTAAAAAATATTTTATTTATTTTTAGAGAAAGAGGAAGGGAGGGAGGAAAAGAAGAAGAGAAGCATCAGTATGTGGTTGCCTCTCACATTCCCCCACTGGGGACCCGGCCCGCCACCCAACATGTGCCCTGACGAGATCGAACCAACAACCCTTTGGTTCAACACTCAGTCCACTGAGCCACACCAGCCAAGGGAGAAATAACATTTTTAAAGTGAAGGTGACAACACTTTGTAAAGTACTATATGATTGTCTAATCACCATGTTATACACCTAAAACTAATACAAAATAATATTGAATATAAACTCTAATCGGAAAATAAAATTTAAATTAGAAAAAATAAAATTCTGAGATCCAAATGTTTAGTTTTAAGTTAAATCTTGGAAGACTCCTCTGAAGTGAGTAGATAAGTGATAACGCTACACGTGGGAAGTCCCTCAAGCTGTCCTGACTACCTCATCAGGGAGGGTGAAGAAGGAAGTCACGGGGCCGCCCAGGGGGCGGTGTTAGTCTCCCCCAGCCAGCTTCGGTCTCTGAACATTCATTTTGTCTACGGTGGGTTTTGGAGCACAGATGGTTCCTGGTGTTAATTAAATATCTAAAAGAATTTTAACCCCTTGGAAATCTATACAACATGAATATTTTACTAGTGTCTTATGAAATAGGGTACATGAAAAGAGAATGTTATTGGGTAAAGTGTACTTGAGTTTCCCAATTAATGTGATTTGGGGAAAGGGTCTTCAATGATTAAAACTTCAAGTTCCTCCCTGCAAAAAAAAAAGAAAAAAAAGTAAAGACGACTGTATAACAAGGGTTTCTGCTGTCGGCCTAGCTGTTTCTTTGGGTAGTACACAGAACTCAGTCCCGTGAGGATATAATTCATCTGGGGCCCGTGCGCTCGGGCCAGGTTTTGGAGCATCTGCATGGAGCTCTGTTGGTGCTTCCCAGCTCTCACTTTCCCCACCCTGTTCATAACTCAGCCGCCAGCCACTTACAAACCTCTAACTCCAACCCAGACCCCTCTTTTGAGCGAGACTTACATTTTCACCTACCTTCTAAATATGTCTACTTAATGTTTTGTACGTACCTAGAACTCAACATAAAACTGAATTCTTCATCTGACACTTAATACTTGGCATCTCTTACATTCTCTCCATCTTGGTAGATGATACTGACCTCCCCCTCTCCACGTGTCCTACCCAGACACCTGGAAGCGACCTTAAATGCCTCTGCCTGTTACCGCCATCTGGTCCTATCCATTCTCCACCCCAAGTAGATCTCAGATAGGACCTTCCAATTATACCGTCCCTGGGTTTGGTTCTTTAACATTCAAGGGACTTTTGTGCGAAGAAAGAAATACCCATGAGTATTATACTGTAATGCTTAAATTTATTAAGCATATCTAATAAATATAATTTTGAGGGTATATTCTTCTAACTTTTATCAATAATTGCAAACTAAATTAAGTTCCTTTAAAATCACAAGTGCTAATTTACTGGGACTGATTATTTTGAACATTTTAAACACTGAAGTAGACAGATACTCATATACATTAATTGTAAAGTGTATAATTAATTTTATGTTCAAACATTTGCATGGTGGGTTTAGTTTCTTCTCTTTCACTTGGTGAGGTTTATCAGCACTGTCTCAGGTGTGCAGCGATCAGACCGTACCCGGCGTTGGCAGAGGAGAATCAGAAGGGTGTTTGGGCCCAGTTTTTCCTCCCGTGTTTGCTGTGTGTGTCAGACCTGAGCCACTGGCCGTTAGAACACGATTCCTTTTTATTTCTAAACCTCACTTGGTTTTTTAAAGTCTGTATCTTTCCCATTGATTCTAGTTAGTTAATTTGGGGTTTGTTTTTTTTAATCTTCATTTGAGGACATGTTTATTGATTTTAGTTGTGGGGGAAGAGAGAGAAACGTCAATCACTTGCCACCTGAACACACCCAACAGGGAATTAAACCTGCAATCTTTTGGTGTGTGGGAGAACCCTCCAACCAACTGAGCCACCTGGCCAGGCTCAGAATCATCAATTTGTTGTTCCACTTATTTATGCATTTATTGGTTGATTCTTGTATGTGTCCTGACTGGGAATCAAACCTGTAACCTTGGCGTATCAGGACAATGCTCCAACCAGCTGAGCTACCTGGCCAGGGTCAGGAATTATTACTTTAAATCACTTTCATGTCTGCTAAGTTTATTTCTTTACATCCAGAGACCCCTTATAGTCTCCTCTCTAAACTAATGCATGATATCCATAACATCACCTTCTCCTTTAAAAAAAATCAGAGGTTTCTCATCACATACATAACACAAAGTCGTGGTCTGGCCACTCCGCACTAACTTTATTTCCTGCTACTCTCCCCATAGGCGTACCGTGTTCCGACCCTGCGAAACTAATTAAAATTCCTCAAACGTGCCGTTCTTGGATCTTGGCTTTAACACTGTTATTGGTGTTTCCAACTCGGCTTAGACCCGACTGCGTCTGAGAAACCTTTCCTGAGACCCTGCTTTTTAAAGATAGTCACGGCCCCTTTGAAAAGCACTCGTCGGGCCTTTCGCTAATGACCCACTGAGCCGTCAAGAAAGGGCAGAGTGAAAACACCGCTTTCGGGTGAAGTGGCAGCATGTCATGTTGTTTCGCTTCAGTTGGTGGTGTGACAAGGGGTTAAAAAGAAAAGGATAATCACAAAAGTGTCATCACAACCCCATCCAAAAAATCAGTAATTGTTGGTATCACCAAATATCTTACCAGTTTTACATATCCCCGTTGTTTTACAGTTTTGCTTACAGTTTGTACCAGCATAATCCTACAGTTGACTTGCCCACAGATCGATTCAGGATGTTGCCGCTGAACGAGCCCGCCGTTCTCGTCAGTGAGTTCCTGGGTCGCTTTCAGAGCCTTTGTCACCTGGACCTGCAGCTTCCTTCCCTGAGGCCGGAGGACTTGAAGACCATGGTGAGTTTTCTCGGCGAGCCTTCAGTGGCCTCCAGATGTCAGCAGCATTTGTACACGAGGCGTTTCTTTTAATGACAGGAGGGTGCAGAACCATTTGCTGGTCTCTCAACTGAGCGTTTTTAATTTCCATCAGAAACGTGACTAGTAGGGGTTTAAGTGAGTGAGTTCCATTTAAATTTCGAGATACGATTCTTCAGGTGGCAGGAATTCAATTTAATCTTGCTTTGTTACTTAAACAGTTTAACAGAAGATACTGAAATGTTATCTCATGTGATTTCTTGAACGCCATTTCCCAGAGAAAGCGCCGCAGGAGGCGTTAGAAAGTCCCTTGTCTGCCGGGAGCAGAGACTCTGCGGTGTCCCGGCCCATCGGCACTGCAGTCTGCCGCCCGTTTTGTCGTCTGGCAGGCACTTGGAGACGAGCGTCACCGCGGGAAACAAGCTGTTACTTTGCTTCTTCGAGTTTTTATTTCTTTTTTTTCTTCCCACCCTGTCATAGTTTTTTTAAAGATCGTGGCAAGCTCTGTTGTTCTGTCAAAAAGCAAATTTGGTGTCAGGCCAAGATACAAACAGTAACTTTTTTATTATTTGGATTTGAGGTTTGCAGAGAAAATCTGCAGCTGGTAAATTGAAAACGGATTGGTCCTAAGACTTGGTCCCTCCAGGAAAACCACCCCCTTCCCACCCGGCAGACCCAGGGCAGTCGGGAGCCTCTGCAGAGGCCGCGGCCCTGCCCTAGTGGGACCGCTTCTCTGCTGACGAGAGCTGTTTCCACGCGCTTGTCGTTTTGGCCGTGGTTTTTGCCTTGTATCGTCTGTATTCCAGGGGTATTCGACCTGTGGCCCAACAGAAAATTGTAAATTTACTTAAAACTTTCTAAGATTACTTTGTGATTGCGTGTCACCATGTATTTTAACGTGTGGCCCGAGACAACTCTTCCAGTGTGTGACTCAGAGACGCCGAAAGCTTGGACACCCCTGATTGTATCATTAAATGTCATTTTCTTTTCATGGTGATTGAAACTTGAAGTTTTTTACCTTGGTTCTCTTGTAGTGCTTTACAGAAGAAAAGATTGGTCTTCTTCTACACCTGCTTGATGATGAACTTGATCACCGAACTGACGAGAGAAAAACTGCCACCAAATTAGGCTCCGACATCCAAGTCCACGTCACTGCCTGTATTCTCTCTGTGTGTGGCTGGGCGTGTAGGTCAGTCAAACTTGGCTGGGGATGTGAGCTGGGACAACATCATACACCCATTTATATATCAGTCACTAATAGTATCTGGAGATCACATGGTGTTTCCCATAAGAAAAACAGAGACAGTTCTGGCCAGGCAGCTCCGTCGGTTAAAGCCTTGTCCCCATAACCAAGGTTATGGGTTTGATCCCCGGTCAGGGCACATACAGGAACCAACCAGTGAATGCATAAAAAGTGAAATAACAAGTCATTGTTTCTCTCTCTTTCTCTTTCTCTTCCTCCCCCTCTCTCCCTCCCCACCTTTCCTCTTTCTCTCTCTCTCTGTAAAATCAATTAATTAAATAATGATGATCATAAAAGAAACACAGAGGTAGAGAGAAACTGAAGGGATGAGACATGAGGGGACAGTAAGATCCGTAACAAAACCAGAATTAGAACTTAGAAATTTCTGAACATATCTGAAATTTGTTTCTTTCATTGTCATGTCGCAGCTGGGAATTTGTGTTCCTGTAAACAGCGTACCTCCTTGCTGCTTTCAGAAAGGAGGGGAAGTGAGTTCAATGGATTGAGAACTACGGCAGGAACGCCAGCCGGAGCCTCCTGGGCCCCGTCCTGGTGTTTCCGTCCCAGCCGCTCGGTTCAGAGCAGACTCCTCTGGGGCAGAAGACTGTCGGAGCCGAGCTCCGTGTACTTGAATGTGCCGTCTTCCATAGATGAAGGAACAGTTTTCATTTAAAGGGAAAGCATTTTAAGAGGGACAGGGAAATTTATAAAACGTAACTTTTAAATAGTCTTGCCACGGAAGAGCACACCAAGACCCCTGGATATTTCCGTGGGAAACAGATGAGAGAGAGGAAGTTGGGGTCCTGAGAGCAGGGGACCAGAACCCTGTGGGGACGTGGTTCCCCGTCCCCGGACTGTTCCGCAGGTTCGTCCGACGAGACAGAGTACTCACAAATCGTTACACTTAGCCCTTGGAGGTGTGGCCCTTTGCGAAAACTCCCTCTGCGTTCTGTTCTACCTAGTTCTTCCCTGGAACCCGCGCAGCTCTCCCTGGTCACGTGTTCACACTGCGTGAGGAAGGTGGGGCTCTGGGGTTTCCAGCAGCTGGAGTCGTCCGCAGGCGACCTGGACTCGTCCTTCGTCCTGACCAGCTCCCCCGCCCCAGGCCCCGACGGGCGCCCAGAGCGCCTTCTCCTAGTGTCCGAGTCTCCTCGGAGGATGATGACTCGGAGCCAGGATGCCACGTTCTCCCCGGGCTCAGAGCAGGTATAGACTTCATTGGCTTGTTTGGGGTGGGCTTTTTGTTTCATTTACTTATTTATTTTATTCTTCACCTGAGGGTACGTTTACTGATTTTAGAGAGAGAGGAAGGTGGGGGCGGGCAGAGAAACGTTGATGTGAGAGAGAAACATCAGTTGGTTGCCTTCCATACACACCCCAAACAGGAATTGAGCGCACCACCTAGGTGTGCGCCCTGACTGGGAATCAAACCCACCACCTTTTGGTGTGTGGGTCGATGCTCTAACCAACGGAGTGGGTTGGACTTTTAAAACAGCAGTCTTGCCAGAGGTGGTGTTAGTGGAACAGTTGGGCATTAAGATAGGAGTCACTTCTAACCACGTTGGTTTTATTCAGCAGTTACAATGGAACTGCTAAATTCATTATTTTGCGTAGTAATCTAATGTTCTTTGAAGAATTCAGTTATGCACACAGTTCAGAAACTAAATTCTTACGGTTTAAACTATAAAATACTAACTTTTACATGCTTCTAGAAATACCTCTCCTGACCATAGTCACGAGTAGCATTGGTATACTTCCATTATCATCTCCCTCCCTCAGGCTGAACGGAGCCCAGGCCCCATCTTCTCCCGAACCCGGAGCTGGGACTCTTCCAGTCCTGTTGACCGCACCGAGCCCGAGGCCGCCAGCCCCACCACCAGGACCCGCCCGGTGACCCGAAGCATGGGAACAGGAGACAGCTCTGGCCTGGAAGTGCCATCCAGTCCTCTCCGGAGAGCCAAACGGGCTCGCCTCTGCTCTTCCAGCAGCTCGGTGAGTGCCCCCGTGCGTGCGGAGGTCACCGGGCACCAGGAGCACACCCGCCCTCAGCACGCAGCACAGAGGAGCAGGCGTGAGCCCTCCCTGGCCCTGCAGCTATGAGTACACCCTGCAGCTAAGTTTAAAGATGGGACGGGGGGTGGCCCAAAGGGGAGGAAATTGTACGGGTTTGCCTTTGTTTCTTTGGGATGCATTCTGGAGAGGCAGTAAGTGTGTCAGGCACAGGACAGCAGTGAGACGGGGGACAGACCTGGCCACTGATAGCAGTGCCCTTGGTTAACACTGCGCTCTTCCTCCTCTCTCAGGACATGTCTCCACGAAGCTTCTTTGATCCCACTGCTCAGCATAGAGACTGGTGCCCTTGGGTGAATATCCCACTTGGCCAGGAAACCAGGGAGAACGGTGGAACTGAGGCAGATGCCAGCAGCCCGGCAGAGCCAGGCTGGAAGGCAGTGCTGAACATCCTCCTGGCCCACAAACAGTCTAGCCAGCCAGCCGAAACGGACTCCGTGGTGAGATGAGCTGTTTGTCCTGACGGTGTGGGCACTTGCTGTTTGGGGATGAGGAGCAGAGCCCAGGCCTATAATTAGCAGCTGCCTGCCCTCAGCTTCCACAGATCAAGTTAGGCTGTCTGCTTCATCCTAGAGAACAGGCGTGGAACTGGTTTGATCTTTCTGCAGTTTAGCATATGGCATTCTGTCAGATTCTGAGAAATGCTTTGTCAACTAAAATGTCTCAAGGAGAGAAGGAGAAAAACAGAATTCGATGAAGAGGCAGCTGCTCCGGCCTCAGGTTGCAGAACAGCTGCTTTTCCCATCAGTTGCTGTCACTCACCTCCGGAGCCTGGCCAGTTAATGTAGCCGTCTGGAGCACTGTGCTCCGACACCGAGGCTGCCGGTTCACTCCTCACAGTGGGCGGGTCACTTTGCTCTGTGCCACGGCCCCGGACTTGGGCGCCGAACCTCAGCTAGCTGCCACAGTGATGACTGCCACTGGTCACAGATGTGGGGAAGTGCCAGCCCATCGTGACAGCTGAGAAAACAAGTCATATTTGCTCTGCGTAAAGGCTGGAAGGCATAGGCGGTGGGCATTAAGGAACTGTAAAAATGGGCTTCTCTTTCCCTGGCTGGCTCATGCCTTAAGTTGCTTTGTAGCCTGCCTGGGATAAATATTGTAATTTCTGACCTCTATTCCCTCCAAAGACAAAGGAAAACCATTCTCAACAGCAGATGTTTACAGGGTCCCAGGACTCCACTTGGGAGGAACTCTAGGGGTGCTAAAAGCCCAAGATTGTACATTTGTGCCCTTAGTAAATATACAAATGAGGGTCTTCCAAGTTTTTTGCAGGAAAAAATCTGCATTTTTCCAACTTAAAAAACTTCAAAATGCATAAAGCTATCAGAAGACAAATGTTTGATTACCTCTCAGATTAGAGAGATTAACTCCGCACATAAACTCTCTCTGCCTACAGCCTCATGAAATTGTGTACTGACAGTTTTTATTAACTTCTCTCTCTCAGTGTCATACCAACAAGAAATCCCACAGGACCTTCTTTTTTTTTTTTTTTTTTTTTTTTGAGTGGGAAAAATTGGCCTCACATTTGGCCTTGGGTCCCAGGACTTTTGAAATCCTTTCTGGCAGCTTGTCCTGAAACCCTCCCGCGGCTGCCCAGACTGGGACGCACAGAGTTTACCAGGCTGTGGCAAGACATGTTAGAAAAAAGGTTACACTGTTTCTCAACTTGTTTGTTTCAGCTTTGTCACTTGATTAACTGAATTCCCCTTGGTCTCTGGTAAGAGCTCAGACTTCTCCCTCCTGGGACTGTACTTGATTGAGACACTCATCTGCACAGGGTAAAAAAGCGGTGAGAATGTCACATCAGAAACCGGAGGTCACTCTGCGGATTATCTCGCGAGAGACTGTGCTCTCACTGAGCCCCGTGTGCTCTTTCCGACTCTCAAAGGGAGCAGACCAAGTGTTCCAAATCACCGCAGACTTTTTCACGTTTCGGTGAATTGTTTAGTCTCCCGGTAACACCGTTTCTCAGAATATCAGCTTACTTCATAGGCACGATCAAGTGGCAAGGAGTCTTCCTATTATTAGCTCTGCTGGCTAAAACACGAAGCTGAGAAGGCCAAGGTCATAGTTTGAGCTCTTAAGGGTCATTTAACCTCGTTTTATTCCTTGGCCTTGGACTGTACTGTTAACCCCAGCTAGGCATCGCGTAAACGTGAACCCTGCTGCAGGGGAAATAGTGAACTGGGGCCAGTTCCGCATCAGGATGAGAAGCCGGTGCAAAGTGTGTGCAGCGCTGTGGTGGGTCAGAAGTGTCATCCTCACGTGCACACAGTGGGGCAGGTACTCGAAGGGAGGGCGTGAGCCATATTTTAGAGGCTGAGAATGTGTTGGCAAGAGGCTTAGCAGGAGAACGTGGGCCTCTTGATTTGTTAGTCTGGCTTTAGGTGTATATTATGTATACACTCTGTGTAGTTGACTTGTTTTACTTAATCCCGGACATACCTACATCATTGTGGGAGAAATTTGCAGACCAAGACTTAAAGCTACTATGTAGCCTTCATCTCTATGAAGGAATTTAATCTCTAATGATGAGTTTTTCTACCTGTAGAGTCTCTCCGAGAAATCGAGGAAAGTATTCCGAATATTCCGGCAGTGGGAATCCTCGTGCTCATCCTGAAGATGCCCCAGCCCTTCCCAGAGAGAAGTGGAAGGAGTGACTCTGAAGAAATAAAGTTTAAGTTCCCTTTTGATCAGCTGATGCTGTTTTCCTTCATTCTGGTTTTATGCGTAGGAGCTCCTGCCCTTTCAAAGACAGTGGGTGTCACCGTCACCGGCAGCATCCGACCGCAGGGACCTGTTTCCACACACGGGCCCGGGGAGGCACAGCCAGCCTGGCTCTGTGAAAGCAGTGTGAGTTGTGAGAATAGACAGAGGACCCAGGACTGAGCACTTTTAAGATTTTTTTCTCCTCACCCAAGAACATTTTGTCATTGCTTTTAGAGAGTGAGAATGGGAAAGAGAGAAACATCAGTTGGTTGGTTGCCCCCACACACACCTGGACTGGGATCGAATGTGCAGCCTGGGTATGTGTCTTGACTGGGAATTGAACCTGCAACCTCTCGGTTCTGGGATGACACTTCAGTCACCTGAGCCACACCAGCCAGGGCTTGAGCACTTTCAGTGTCTTTAGGGTAGTTCTTTAAGGACTCTTGCATCCCCAGAATATGCCAGTATGTATTAATAAAATTTTTGTTAAAATTCTCACTCCTAGAGAACTGTTTTCCTCCCTGCCTTCTGGGCTGATGTAAAAGAAGCAGAGACTGAGAAAACTTCAGTGAAGCAGTAAAAAAAGTCAAAATTTTAGTTTTCAGATTGGCTGCAAAGCCTAAAATTCATTCGTGATTCTAGTCAAAGAAGGTATTTCTAAGCCAAGGCCAAAATGGCGGTCATTATGTCTCCAGGAAGACCTCCCAGTGTGTCGTTGAGCAGTAAGCCGATCATTTTGTCCCTTCACTTCCATCAGAGTAGAATAGGAGACTCACAAGGGCGGGGAGGCCCTTCAGGAGAGACCCCTCTCCCTGTGCCTTCTAATGCACCGCAGCCCTGAGCGGGGCTCCCACAACCGTCCCCGCGGGCAGGCAGTCCCAGGCGCTGTGTCGAAGGGGGACCTACCCCTGCTCAGCAAGACTGCCAGCTGTACAGGGACCCGGAAGCAGTTGCTCCGGGAATGTCACCTTTCCTCCAGCAGCTGGTTGGTTGGTTGGTTTCATAACTCACTCAGTTTGTACTGAAGCATTTTAAAGAAAGTAATAGGTATCATAATATTCCACTCATGCTAAAATGTGTATCACTAAAAGATACATTTTTCCACATACTAGACCCAACAAAATGAATAATTCATTAATATTATCTAATATCCAGTCCACCCTCAAAATTTCTAATTGCTCCCAAAATGTTACTTGCATTTGATTTGTCCAAGATCAAGTCCAAGATCTTCAAGATCATGTTCTGCATAAATCTCTTTAGTCTAAAGAGATTTTTTTCCCCATGCCTATCAGATTTTAAGTCTGTCATTTCTAATTTGGGTTTTTCAAAGGGTAAATAGTGTTGCTCTCTCTTCTCTGTCAGTGGGTGAGGCCCAGAGAGGCTGCTTCCAGGTTATCTCTGGAGATACCCCTTTGCCTTTGGCAACAGGAATTGGCCTAATGGCAGCTCCGCTGTTACAGGGATGAGACTTTTGTTCCAGGGTGGGAAGCCATCTAGTGTCTGAATTTGAACTGTGCCCTCTAGAAGCTCATGGCCTTTGGGTCACAGTTTCTTAAGGAGTAGTGTAGAATTATCAACACAGATATTCAAAAGGACTACAAGCCTAAGTTTCAGGTTATAATAATGGGGGTATTTATTTTTTTAATTTTTCCACAATAATTTATAATCTACACCTCCCTCTAAAAAGAAAGTAGTATTCCCCTACCTTTAAAATTGGCAAGGCTCCACAAGTTTTTTGTTTTTGTGGTTTTCTTTCTTTTTAACTATAACTGGAAACAGGGATCGACGTGATATAATGCAGAAGACATTGTCTCCCCCACTTGTGAGTCACTCATGTAGTGCAGCCCTGAACAACCACCTGGGTTCCGCCCTCGAGAAGTTTGTAGTCCCAGCTGGAAGACACCCACCTTTATCAACACATGTTGCACAAGACGAGTGTGAAATACTCTGGGAGAAGTCTAAGAGATTAATTCCCAAGTATGGAGCTGGAGAGAATTCCAAGGAAGGCGCAGACTTGAGCTGGGCCTTGGAGCTGAGTGGGGGATGAGGGCTCCGTGGGAACAGGGACCTTGTCTGATCATCTCAACACTTAACCTGCCTGGCACGGGGTAGACACAATGAAAGAGGACATGGGAGCTGAAGGAACACTGAGTGAGCAGAATTTCACATGCTCCTGAATCAAGCAGGAATTCTGCTGTGTTCAGACCTTTGCATTCAAGAGGAGAGGAGAATAGAAATCAGGCCAGGAGGGAATCTTGTATGTAACATGAGGAGGAGTTTGCCCTTGAGTCTGTGGGCAAAGAGACGCTGTTAAATTTTTGAGCAGGGGAATATTTGTGCTTAGAAAGGTACTTCTGGTGTCTGTGTAGCATGCACTGGGGAGATGGGAAGGCCCTAAGAGGTATGATGGCAATGAAAATGGATTATTGATAGAAATGTCAGCGAGGTGAGGAAGAGGGGTGGGATCAAGGATGACCTTGAGGTTTGTGGCCCAAGCAATCAAGACCGAGAACTCCGGTGGAGAGGGAAGACAGTAGCTATGTTTTTAACGTTTTGAGTTCAGTAATTGTCTAGAAACGAATGTGCCAGAGATCAGGAGAGGAGGATTGTTTAAAATGCTCGCCTGTAGAGGCGTGTAAAGTGAACCCGTTGGCCTCCTCACAGGATCTCAACGCCAGCCTGTTAACCGTGTACCTGAGGTCTCAAGGCTGCCCACCTGAGTTCCTGATGAATGCACTGCTAGGGTGGGCTGAGGGTGCTTTGGATAGTAATGGGTGTTCTCAGGGTGATGGTTTCTGCTGTGTGTCAACCTAAAGAGGCTGAGGGCGCCCAGGGAGCTGGGAAAACACTATTTCTTGATGTGTCTGTGCGGGTGTTTCAGGAAGAGGTTAGCGTCGGAGTTGGCGGACTAAGTGAAGAAGACTGCCCTCGCCGTGGGCAACCTCCAGTCCACGAGGGCCTGAACCGAACAAGACAGGGGAGGGGAAATTCGCTCTTCGCCAGAGCTGGCGCGTCTGCCTTCAGCCAAAGGCATCAGAGCTCCTCCTCCTCAGGCCTTGAGCCTCAGACCAGGACTCACGCCATCAGCCTCCCTGTTCTCGGCCTTCGGGCTGGCACTGGACCTGCACCATGAGCTTTCCTTGGCCTCTGGCTTGCAGATGGCAGATGACGTTGGCCGATTCCCATCATAAACCTCTGTGCATCCGACTGGTTCTATTTCTCCCGAGAGCCCTTACTAGTACAGATGAGGCTGAGCTTGTGTGTGAGCTTTGTCCCCAGAGCATCTGTTGTCTTCCACACTGGGACGACTTCAGCCCCTGGCTGTTCTTCCTTCTCCTTCCGCCTTTTGAGAAAGCCACTTTTCCTGATTTGATTCTTTATTTGGGGGGTGGGGGGAACATTTTTCTTTTGAAAAATAAAAAGGTAATTTTCTAGAATTTTATATTTGCTGCTTTAGTATCTAGGAAGGGAGTATTACGTATCAGCATTCTGAGGAATTTTCCCGCCTGCAGTAGCCACGCTGAGTAGCATACAGCTTACAGGGATGCTGTACAATGTGCTCACGTCTCCTGCTGGTAGATAGAATGTGCGGTGCCACCCCCTTGACCTCCCACGTCAGAGCCACCTTTTGCAGCCTTGGTCCCAGCATCGGGGCAGGTGGTCGTATCTTGAAGACCCCTGCTCTTCGAGGCTCGTCTGACTCCCCCCCAGTCTGGCCAGTCCCCCCGGCTTCAGACTCTCCTTTTACTGTTTTTCTCCAGGATTCTAAAGCCTCCAGGAGTCAGTGTTTGTTTTAACGAAGGTTGCACTTCTCAGGGAAGTAGATTCTGTTTTCACAGTGGGAAAGACTAAAGCTCAAAGACATTTCATAACAAGCCCTGTGATACAGCTAGAATGTGGCAGGGGCACACTTACTCCGTGTTTCCCAGCCTCTGTTCTCTGCATTGTAACGAAGCCGGGGTTTCTTCCGGCACGGCGATCCCGTGAACTTTTTCTTTAGGCCCCAAGTCGAAACCTGCTTCTCACGGCAGGGAACAGACCTTTCATCTGCTCATGGGATACTCTGATCCAGATCCGAGTCTTTTAGCTGGCTGTTCAACGTTTTAGCCAACTTGAATGAACTTGGCAGCTGGAACATTCTCTTGGGGGCCTTTCCTCATTTAGTCATCAAACTCATAGACCAGTTGTGGCTGCCCTCAAAGCCAGCTTTAAATCCTTCCACCACCTTCCATTTGGGCAACAAAAACAGCTGCATGTACAGCTTGACCAACAGCAAAAGTTATAAACACTTCCTCCTCAGTTTTCCTCACTATTTTTAGTTTTATTTCTATTCTGGATTTTCTTTGGCTTTATGTAGCTGTTATCTAGGTCAGTTGACCCATGTTCTCAGAAGTGAAGGCTGCCTCTGAGCCCTTTAACTGGAGGCCATTCATTCCGTCTTTAACCCCACTCTCCTTTGGCGGTGGTGGCAGTAATGGGTTTCTGTCCACAGTGCCTCTCCGGCCCATCAAACATCATGCAGCTGAAGCCAAGTTAAAAAGAAAGGGAAAAAGGAGCAAAGTCTGTATGAAGGTCTCTGGGGAGGACTGGTAGTTCGTCCAGAGAGGACCCAGAGACACAAGCCATTTTAACAACACACTTCAGCTTGCTGTCCTCCCTTCCGTCAGCTACCTGCCGCTCTCTCCCAGTAGGGAGGTACAGAAGAAAACAGACTGCTTCCCACCGCAGCTCAGTTACAGCCCTGAAGAGGGTGGAAGTAGGAACATCAAGGGTCAGATCCGGAAGAAATTCCAGGTGCACCAACAAGGCCATCACTGCTCTCAGGAGCAAACCAAGGTGACGGAGGCAAGAAAATCATGTTTTAGCTCCGTGTCCATTTCCTAGCCAGTCTTGCCAGCCAGAACCAGCACCAAAGGGGGAGTAGGGAATACACGTGAGAGCACCTGGTGGCCAGGTGGGTTTCAAGCCGCTTTGCAGTGACAGT